CCCACAGCAGAAGGTGGCTCCGAGCGCTCCGTGTCCTCGCATCCTCCGAGCGCTCCGTGTCCTTGCGTCAACTCTTCACCCTCTCTCATTAAGATGTTCCTCCCCGCTGCCCCCTCCTCGCCGTTAACCTCCGCAAGCACTAATGGGCTCCTTGGCAAATCCGGTGCACATCCCGTAGAGCTCGGCGGCCTCGAGACGCTCATCTTTTCATACACACGCAGAAAAGCAAGTTTTATTCTAAATAGAAGTGGCAGCTTCTAATTTAAGACCATATCGTTTGACTGCCAGGCACAACAAAAGCCACCTATTGCCCACGTAGGCAGTCAGTCTGCTCTAATGCCGACCCCACGTGCAATTGCAAATAAAGGCGACTGATTCTGCACTCAGAGCTCCCTTTGCTCCTAACCCCTTTTGTGGGGTTCACTCCCCAGCAGCCCTGATGTATTTTTTTATGGATGAAATTCCACTCACTCCTTTAATGCCATCAACCAGTCGCCAAGAGCAAGAATTGCATTAAATTATTTCGTCCACAGCCAGAGTGCCTGTGGGGGCAGGGGTGAGGGAGCAGGCGGAGGGGAGGCAGCTGGGGATCACAATCCCACATGATCCCAGACACATACAGGGCTTCTCAGCTGCTTTTTAAAAATGCTTGCAGTCTTCTCTACATATGCATACATGTATTTGCATATGCATACACATATGCAGGTTTAAATCACGCACATTGCCACTGAAGTGAATATCAAGTGTCTTGTGTGTGTGTCACCAGCAGCCCAAGGAAAGCTGCAAAAGCCCCCCACACATGGTCACAACTGCTTCCCAGGCAGGATTGGGACCTGCTGCATCCCACATGGCTCCAGTTCCTTGCTGAAATGAAGGAAATCAAAGCTTCCCAATTCCAGGCACTGCATCCCAGACTGAAGTGGGCACAACTTCGCTCCACTAGGAAACATCCCCGCCGCGCAGATCCCAAGTACGACGCACACAGCTTGATCCGCTTTATTTTTCAACCTGCTGAATTGCTAGAATATGTTTAGCTGTTATACACAGACCCCAGATCCATAATCCCACCCTCAACAGCTGTTACATTTGCCGTGGTATTTACAGCAGATGTTACGGCTCCGTAAAAAGGTAAAACAATGGAGACTTCCAAAACTGGGGCTAAGGGGGCACAGCAGAGCCCAAGTCCTGTACTCACCTGCAGCCAGGCTCACAGAACCAGCCATGGATGCACCAATATGTGATGTAAAGAGCCACATCAGAGCCTACAGCAGCTTAAGGAAGTTTCAAGTGTTACCATCGTGGCATTAAAAAGCTGTCAGCTTCCTGCGACACAAGCAGCAGAGGCTGGAATTCAGTGTTTAAAGGATGATTAAATGTAAGTGACTTAAATTATACATTCCAGTTTCTGGAGCTGACACCATTTAAAACACACCATCTATTCCCCATTTCCTCTGACACTGATTACTACCCACTAAAAGATGAGCATTTTCTTGCAGGCTCTCAAGTACCAAACTAGGGATTTATGAATTGGAGATAATTAAACAGTTTTGCATTACAAATAGAGTAAAACATTTACGTTCCATGGGCCACCTGAGAACACTCAAAGAGTCAAAATGGACATTTTATACCTGAAAACCTGCCTGCTTGCCTGCTCTCTATCAAGGCTGCTAATTGAGGCACAAGAAGCTTGGAGCTATTTTATAGTGGATTCACAGTCAAACATTTGCTGAGCTTCTGGACAACCTGAGACAGGCTCAGGACCCATCGTTAATTCTCCCACATGGAGCTCTGTAAGCTGAGGCTCCATTAAGCTGACACAAATAAATTGCCTGTTTCTCCTTGACAAGTATACAGAGAGACTCGCAAGCCGTTACCTTTCAGATTTCAAAGACAAGGAGCCGTAGGATTTCCTTGGTTGGTAACAAAATGCACCAGGAGCAGGAAGAAGCACAAGGCCATGAGAACTGGGAGAGCCTCTTCCCCATCCACCCAGAGCACCCACAGCCCCTCTCTGAGGTCAGTTTGGTCAGCCCCTATCAGTCCAAACTTATGATCTTGTGCAGGATGCCAGACTCTCCACCCCAGTGACAATTCATATGAAGGGATTAACACATGCCAGTATGACAGCAGGTCCTGGAATTGCACATGGGCATCTCAGTAACTTCAAAGAAGGCCTTTTTAACGTGATTTTTCCTCCTTGCCTGAAATTTTCAAGCCAGAAAAAGCAGTATCGATCTCACTGCCTGATAGAAATGAGATAGGGACTAATTGAGCACAGAGATCTCAGGGAAGGAGTCTCCAAGGTATCTTTTGATTTGAACAAGGACCCTTGCAAAATGTCAGAAGAAAGAGAAAAACAAGGGAAAAAAAGAAAAAAAAAGAAAAGGGTCATCCTGAATCTTCCCTGTCAGCTTGCTTTTCCCTGCACTCACAGGAGTGCTGAGCATCGTAGACTTAAAATAGAAGGGGCTCCAAGACACTGGGAGGAGAACTGTGGCTGTAAGTTAAGACAGAGGAATAGGAAAGGAAATGGGAATGGCTGCAAATACAAACAGTGACTCATGAAATAGCAAACAAACAACACTGTAACAGTTTTTGCAATTGTAATTCAAACCAAAATAAACAAGAATGACAGTTCAGCACAAGGAAAGGGAGGATGACAGTGGTGGGAGGGGGGTGTGGGGACTCCACTGCCTTCACATCTGTTGCTCTCATAGCATCCCAAATGAGCAGCTCCAGAAAAAAACAGAGAGAGGAAAGGAAAGATCTATGGGAGAGCAGCAACTTCTTGTGATCTACATCCATGTTTGAAGTTTTCATGACTGCACTGAGAGCAGAATTTATATCCCAAAGCCATGGAATAGCCTACAACACTGCTACTGGTTTTGACCCCTGGCCCCTGAAAGCAACAGAAATAAAAAGTCCAACTTGGAGGGTTAATGAGTGAAATAGACCCTGTATGGTGGGTGAATGGACAGAAGGCAACAGAGTGGGGGAGAAATCACACCACTGGCACGGGGCACTGATTTAACTGCTCTGAAAATCCTCCAGTCAAGCATATTCACAATTTCTTTTGCTCTTGCTTCATTACCTCTTAGTGAGAAGCTCTTTCCCAATCTGCACCTTGAATATTTTTTTCAGGTAAACCAAGGTAATTTTCCCCAGTGGGAACTAAAAGCTGGTGATCATCCTTTTCACAGAAATCTTTTATGCATCAGAAAAGGTATTGCCTGCACTCAGGCTTATATTTCCAAATACAAGTCCTTCAGCTATTCCTCTCTGGCCTCATTTGCCGAGCTTCCCATTTGTGCAGTTCATCTCCAGACTTGCAAGCGTGACTGTTCTCCTCCTGCCTTGCACCCCTCAGTGCAGCAGGAAGCAATTACCAGCCCTGTCTTACACACAGAGCTTCTGTAATGATGACTCAGAGAGAGATTTCACTCCTTTCCTCAAACCTCTTGATGCTGTTGGCTTGTTTGAGCTGCTCATCCACAACAGCTCCCATCACCACGTACCACCCTGCCCACTGCACTTGGTCATTCAGCTCCTGCTCCCTCAGAGCCACCTCTGCACACTCCTCTTCCCTGCACCTCATCATCTTGGTGCCCCGTTGGTTTTGTTGTTCCAAGATGATCTGGATTCTGCTCCCAAGCCTCAGCAACCCTCCTCACATGCTAACGAGTTATCCAATTAAGGAGGGAAGCTGGACAGATTTTCCTATTTGTTTTTCTTTTTAAGTCAGCTTTTTTCTTTTGGATCCCATCCTCCTCTCTGCTATGTACAAAGTGCTCTGGAACTTTTTTGAAGAATCAGGGTCAGACCTATGAAGGTCTGGAGAGGGCTTTGCTGTGCTCCTCTTCCTTCTCCACCACATCCAGTGACTGCCCAGTGTTCAGAGCTTGCTCAGACCAGGTTTTCCTTGTAATTATACCTGGAATAATTTCACCAAGTCCAGCGGATGTGAGTATTGGATAATCTCTTCTCTACTGATATTTCCTTTCCTCCCCTATTTGACCAAGCCCCTCGTCTGGGTATGTCATCAGCACCACAGTTTTGTGGGGACCGAAGCAGAGGAAGCACAGAGCACATCCACCTATTGCAACCCCTTCATCTCTCCAGCCTTGTTTTCCTCCTCTATGCCTTTGCTAACACATTCCACCTTTTTTTGCAACAACTTCCCCTAATTTGGAAGCCTTCAAGTAAATAATTTTTCCACTAGAGGGCACAAAGACAATTTTTCCTAAGTAGAAACTGATGTTAGGATTAATAAAATAATTACTAACATCTCACCAAAGGCATCTCAAACTTCAATAAATGAGCATTCAATAAATTAAGATGTAGTCCCAACTCCCCAAGTACTACACCATCACCACCAAACATGTAGAGACTGAAAACCTAAAAATCCCAAAGTGACACTACTCTAACAAGGTTTCCTCTACAACACTGAGCACTTTATCCTGCAATTTCTCTGCTTCCCACAATTTCTCATTAGACACAGACCATGATACTAACCCAGCAATGGAGACAGAAAATCCATCCTAGTATTTTCTAAGATGAACTTACCCAAATTTAGCTTCAAGTCAATGAACTTGTTTAGGTTTTTGTTTCCTAAATCAAAAGAAGTTTTATACTAGCAAAGATCTTCTGTTTGCAGATACTTTTAGGTCATGGTAAGTCACCTCCTGACCTGTCTTGGGTAAACTAAAGAGATTTTTTTGCCTTTAAGGCTCTTCTATTCAAGCAAGCTCTTCCAGTTCTTAACCTTCTCTTGTAAATTTGCTACAGGTTGCATCTGTAACAATGACACACAAGGAACGGTGCCTGTCCATAAAAGCATATAAACTCAATAGGAAAGCAACCAAGTCCAACATTTGGTTACACAAACCCCACGAGTGGGACCACAGCGATAATTTCAGAGCGTTGCACGTGCTGAGAGCGCTGCTGCCCTCAGGGTTCATCAGCCTCCCCAGCCCCACCAACAGCTGCAGGCACAGCCCTACCTTGCCGAGTCCTGTACTCCTGGCAGCCCGCTCTGCCAGGGCTGAGGCTGAGGCGATGTGCCAGCGCCCGGCAGCCCACCCGTGTGCGGGTGCCCACGCCCACGCTCCCCTCCATCCCCTCGACGCGCTCTCACTGCTCCAGCCCGAGGGCAGCCAGGTTTGCCTTCTGCCTGACACCAGCGCCTGTGGATTCCCGCTGACTGGAACGTCTGGCTTGGACGGAGTCAGCCCCGAGACTTTTGCTAATGGAAGAAGAGAGACAATAGCGACACGCAGGTGCTTCCTCCCATTTAAAGTGTTTACTTGTGCGGCTCAACGCGGTGACGCTCTTGTGAATTAGATCTGCATGTTGGTTTGCAGAGTTCAAAAGGTAGCACGTAACAAAAGGAACCCCAAAATACTGCTTATTAAATTAGAGTATTTTTTTTTCTTCCCTTTTAAAGTCTGCTTCCTCTGCCAATGCCAAGTAAGAGGGTTTTTCCAACCATACAATAACAGCAGTTTCAAATGGGAAATGATACATACTGTATCAAAACAAAACACCAATTCTAGCACAAAAGCAAGGATTTTATCAGTGTATCTCCACTGCCTATGCAGCAGGCTCCTGAGGCATGGAAAGGAGAACTCCATCAGCCGGTAGTGAAGGCTTGAGACCAGTGCACGTGCTCTGAGAAAAATCAAGAAGATCAAGAGAGAAAGGAGGGCATAGCTAAGCCACAACACAGAACTAAGGAAAGCATCAATCCAAAAGAGGAACAAAGGCATATCTGTTTTATGAGAAAAAGCAAGCAATTCAACTGTATTCCACAGTAAATCGTTTGGCTTAGGACTGAAACAGGGAAGGAAAAAAAAATAGGGAGCATCTGATTCTAATTTTGTTGTTCTAAGCTTACTTTACATGAATCAAGATGTTTACTAGAGGTACCAGGCACTCAAATCCATGCTTGGATCTTGTACATAGGAAGTATCAGATGTGCTGAATGTCTTACAGTTCCTTCCACAGTCAGACAAGGCCCAAAGGGACTCAGCACTTAACAGTAAAATAATAATAAAAACAATAACAACAATAAAAAGTGAAGACACTTGAGTGTTTTTGTCTGAGAGTCATATTATTTTGTCCTCTCCTTATGACTGCAGCTATTTTAGATGTGCTTCCACACTGACTTTCCTTCTTGGTGGGAACAGACTGAGTGGGATTTGCACTTTGCTACTGTCTTCTGAGATCTGGTGGGATGATTGCTCAGAGAACGTCAGATCCAGACTCCTTCCATTCTCTATCATCAGTGAAGCTAGAAATGGCAATTCAAATCCCTCTCTCTGCTGCTCCATCACAGGCATCTGCTAGAAGGCAAATGGCAAGTGCTGCTTTCATCGATGCCAGTGGCAGAATAAATGCAATGCCTTAAAATTAGCAGGCAAGCAATTTTACAGTTGCTTTTGTGCAGCTCAGCAACCCTGTGTCCAGCTTATCAGACTTCTCCTTGAAGTAACATAAAGAGCATGGGCAGATGTGTGCTAAGAACAGCTGCAGCAACACATGAACCCAGCTGTTGACTAACAGTTTGGACCAAACCCGTTCTACCTGTGCTGAAACAGCCTGTCAGCATTCCCACCCCCCCACACACGATCCTCATTTGAAACAGCAGTGGCAAACAGCAAGGGGGCTTCATAACCTCAAACCACCTTGTCTGCTGTGCAGGCAAACCTCTGCCAAGCAAAGGCTAAATGAGCATCTATAGCTGGCTGTAAGTTATGCCCAAAAAGCAAGGGCAAGGCACTGTGTGCAGTGTGGTCTCGGGTATGAACTCAACTCCAGGGTAACTGTTAGGCAGTCCCTGCCCCAGATCGCTCACCATCACCATGAGCAACCTATCCTGCTCCAGCACACCCTCCAGCAGCCCTGCAGGGCCCTGAGGTGGCCAACAGAAAGACAGCACCCCTGTGTCTCTTTTATTGTCAGATTTAGTCTTGCTGCACACAAGCAACCCATGTATTTTATTTTTATGGCTTTCATTCTACTGCTGTGCGCAGTTCCTGAAGGGACACACGATGCCATTTATTTAGAGGGGATCCAACTGAAAAACAATTTAATGCACATTCACTGAGGGAACATCAGAATGTAAACAGGTGAAAGTAACTTCATTTACCAGCAGTGGCTTATGGATGCTCAGAGACACTGAGATTTATTACATACTGCCTTGGGCAGGTGGAAGGACAGCGAGAGGAGAGATGAATTTCTGGCTGTAAAGCGTCATAAATGCCAAAACCCAAATAAGTCTTTACAAGATCTATTACTTGTACTCGCTCTGAAGCTGCAAGAAGGTGGTGGCCAGGGGTCCAAGCCACTGCTGAGGACCCCCAACATCCTCGAGGACAACAGTGCAAGTACAGGGCTTGGTCCTGGGCAGGAGGAGGCTGCAGGAAAGGAGGAGGCTACAGGAAAGCTGCCCTCTCCCAGTGCCACTGCTGGGCACCTTGTACCAGTGCACCAAGCCCTGCACAGTTCAGAGGGAGAATGGGATTAGGTGGGATAAATTAGGAATAACATTAGGAAAGCTTTCACAAACCTCTTAGTATGTCAGAAGAGGATAAATAACACAAATTAGAAAAAATAAGTCCAGGAAAACACTTCTGGGGGGAAATGCTTTTGCAAAATCCTGAGCTTCTTTTTTTTTTTTTTTTAATTAATTAAAAATAGAAGAAACAATTCCCCCCCGAAGTACTGCAGCCTGAAAAAGCTGAATCCTGCAAGCAGCTACGCACAGAAGTTGGAAACAATTACAGCTGGAACTGGCAAGAAGAACAAATGAAAGGTTTTCATTGTGTCAAATGAGGCTTTCGAGCGGACCAGTAGTAACATGATGTTCAAAACTTTGTTGCATGACTTTTATGATGCCTCCCAGCAGCGTGCAACAAAACATATCTGAGCTGTAATCAATTTCTTACAGCCTTATATAAACATTATAGGAATTTTGTCCTCTGTAATACTTCTGGCTCTCAAGGCTGCAATAAATAAGTCAGTTACAACCTCACTGCCACTCTCTCTCCTATCTCGCTGTCTCAAGTCACTGCTTTTATTTCTTTAAAGCTAGCAGTGTAACCACTTTCAGCTTCCACAAACACTTTAAATGTAACCTGTAGCTAAACTCCAGGCAGAATGAAGCATTTTACATTCAAAGGGAAGGAGTGGAAAAAGGTATTTTTCCCCTTTTAACCCTACTTTTCTTTCATCTACAGTCTCTCTACAGTATCAGGGAAGGGAATCATGGTAGCAAATCTCTCAACCAACAGCCCAGAGAGAAATGGGTCTGGAAATAAGCCACAGAGGATGAGTACACTGGTCCTTGAATACACTTGTCAAGCCACCTTCTCCAGTGTCACCTCACTGCTCAAGGACAGTATTTTGGCTGGAACTTACGGAGACAGGAGAGGACCAGGATAGGCAGGAAGGGCACATGCCAATGAACATCCATGTTTTGAAGGTAGAGATCTTCCAGGAGATGAGTCCCTCACTTCAGCCTGTCCTCAGGCCCTGCCCAAAGCACCTCACACAGCAGATCCAAGCACAACCCCCACGCTGGGTCCTGAGTTGAAGGGACATTTGAGAGGGAAATTGCCTGGGCACACTTCAGGGTCAGGACTGAAGGGGAAACCTGATGGTTTCATAGGCATTCAGAGAGCTCTAACAGAGCTCTGTATCACTCAGGCACTGCTGTCTTGCTTCAAGGCACTCGCTTCATTTTGTCTATGAAGAATGGCCACAGGTTGTCAGACCCCATGTCCACCCATTCCATAGTTCCATCTCAAGGAACAGCAGCTGTAACTCCTTCAGGAAGAATCCCAGAGGAGGACAAGGGCATGGCAGTACTTCCCCAAAGAGTACTCCACCTGCCTCAAGGACCACCCGAGCCAGAAACATTATCTCTGTACAGCCCTGGTTTGGTTTCTCCAGATCATTCTCTCCCTCTGTTTCATCCAGCGAATTACAAATTCACCCCACCACTGCGATAAAGCATCAGGGAGTTAGGGGGTGGAGGGAGAAGAGACACCTGAGCCAGTTTCAAAGGTTTTGCATCCTTTGAACACTTCACTCATACATAATTGAACGGGCTGTATGTTTGCACTACAAGAAAGCAGATTTTTTTTTTTCCTACTACCAGACCCATCACGTGAGGGATGCTGTCATACTATAGCCTCAGGGGAGGTTTGCAAACTTGGACAATTTACTGAGAAGCAAAGTAAACTACTACTGACAGCAAGTGGACCAGAGCCCAGATCCTTGAGAGGTTCTGACAATGGGAGGACCCAGAAAAAATAAGCCAGCCTTGACCCGGCATCGGGGGAGGCCGAGAGGAGCACATGCATGTATTTTATTTCACAGTAACCTCTGTTTGACCAGTTATGCAAATAAATCTCTGCTTGTCCCAAGTACACTTCTAGAGACTGAGGGAGAATTTGGAAGACTTCACAGTAGAGCCAGACTTGCCGGTCACTGCATCGCGACCGAACTTCTCAAGAAATGAAATATTAAGCAGGCAGGAATGGCATATATAGCCCATAAAACACGGGAAGTTGCATCCAAAAGAAATGAATCCAAGCTTTGAAAAAAAAAAAAAAAGTACTTAAGAATTTGATACATGATCAGGATCCCTTCAGCTCCTTGCAGGCAGAGAAGCAGTATTTGGTCCCTGGAGAATACATCCCAAGGCAGTGAGAGACACGGGACCAATGTGCCACTACAGTCCCACCACTGACCCATAGGACTCAGACATACTTGCTGCTGCAGAGAATACAGCAGGGACCTGGGGCCTTTATGGGTAGGGAAAGCTCCGTGTACACAGGGCATTTTGCTGATAAAAAGAACAAACCAAGATGTGTATGTGACACCCAGGCTGCCCTCAGTGAAGGAGGGACCTGGCACCTCTTGTTTTCCACCAGCACACGTGCTGCAGTGCTGGCCATATCCCTGTACTGCTCCCCTTGGAGCAGAGGGTCCCCAGGGCAGGGACCACATCATCACCAAGGATTTAC